GTTGAGTGGGTGGATTTGTGTGTTGGGTGCGTGAGTTGAGAAAGAATTTGGGGCAGTGAGTGAGAGAGGCGTGTGAAAATGAGAGAATATGGGGGAGTTGATGCGTGTTTGTAGTGTAATTTTTTTTTTCGTGCATACTCTATGCGACCACATAGAGTATATCTATGCGGTCCCATAGAGAAATTGGCCCTGACCACATCTATGCGGCCGCATAGATGTTTACTCTATTTGGCCGCATAGACTAAACATCCTTTTTTTTTCCATTAATAAATAAAATTGAACAGAACAAAATAAAGTAAAAAAAAATAAAAATTGATTTTCCCCCAAGAACACGACCTCGACCAACTTTGGTTTTCAATTAATACTTTGACTAGAATTTTCAACACCCCAAACTTTTCAAAGTAGATTTTTAAAATCTTAGTGCGTGTGTGGGTTTTAACGTAGTGCCAAAACCACTTTGAACTCTCAATCACACATTGGCCCTTTAAATTTTTGAAAACGACATTTTGTTTTGAAATGTGTGAATTATACCCCCAATTACCCAAAATCACTTCAAGCTTACCGAACATGTGCTCCATGCCTAGGAATTCGTGTGAACGGTGTTTAGACTCTATTGACATGCATGGATGATCGATAACCTAACTAAAAATGCAAATATGAAATTAAAATTTTCTAAACTAATGCAAACGAAAATTAAACAAATTAAAGGATACAGTGAGTTGCCTCCCATCTTGCGCTAGTTTATAGTCGATAGCTCTACTTCTAGCCGCTGCTTCATTCTGGCATCTCGAGTTGAACGGTGAACTTTTGTTAGGAGAAATCACCGCTCCAATAATGTTTCAACCTTTGCCCATTAACTGTGAAGGTACCCTTAGTTTCATGATTGACTTCAATGGCCCCATATGGTAGGACCTTCGTGATAGTGTAGGGACCCGACCACCTTGACCTTAGTTTTCCTGGGAAAAGCTTGAGTCTTGAGTTATATAATAGAACCTTCTGCCTCACTTTGAACTCTCACCTCTGAATATGCATGTCGTGCCACTTTTTGGTTCGTTCTTTGTAGAGCTTTTAGTTTTTGTATGCTTCCATTCTGAATTCATGTAACTCATTAAACTGCAGTATGTGCTTTTCACCAGCGACATTCAAATCTATGTTTAACTGTTTCATGGCCCAATATGCTCGGTGTTCAATCTCTAGTGGCAGATGACATGCTTTTCCAAAAATTGGCGGTATGAAGACATGCCTATCGGTGTCTTGAATGCTGTCCTGTAAGCCCACAATGCATCGTCCAACTTTTTCAACCAGTCTTTTCTTGATGAATTTACTGTAACTTCAAGTATTCTCTTCAACTGTCGATTACATATTTCAACTTGCCTGCTGGTTTGTGGATGATATGGGGTGGCTACGCGGTGTTTTACGCCATATTTATTCAACAACTGCTCAAACTGGCGATTATAGAAATGTTTGCCCCCGTCACTGATTATAGGTCATGGTGTACCGTAACGGGTGAAAATATACTTCTTCAGGAATCGAATTACTGCCTTCGCATCGTTTGTTGGTAGTGCAACCGCTTCCACCCCAAAATTAAAATTAAAATCTGACTAATGAAACGTAAACTTTAAAAATAATCTAGATGTAATTTTCTCCTTTTTTTAATTCATAAAATTGGCCCATAAAATTTTAGTCCTCTCTAAAAATCTATACATTCAATAGAACTTCAAAGATTAGTCGACCCTAAAATCTACTTGTGGGCCTCTAGGTGTGACTTGATTGTCAATATAATATTTCAATCTTCACCGAAAGACTCCTTTTGCAGTGTGTTGTAGACTTGTTTCTGGTACTAATCTTTTCTTTATACGCTATGCATTAGTTACTTGATTGAATGGATGCTTTTCATGTGATCCCGGACTTCTATGACTAATGTTCTTAGGGCTAGACAAAGTTCTCGAACCGAATCAATCGAATCGAACCTGACCTGAACTGAAACAAATCAAGCAGTTCTTTTTAAGTTAAATACTCGAACGAGTATTAAAATCGGGAACCAATGGGTTTGGTTCAATTCTTGGTTCTAGATCAAAAATCGAATAAGAACCGAATATCTCTAATTTTTTTAAATTTATTTTATTTTAAATAAGTCAAATTATTTTATTTTTTCTAAATAAATTTGCTAATTAATTATTTTAGCTCGAAACTCAAAAATATGATTTTCCTATTTCTAATTTTTAGTCAAAGCCCAACTTAATCAAATTGACCTAAATTTAACCCAAATTTGTTATTCTACCGTAATATCGTTTCTATTATTCCGGAGAAATTGAATTGAAATTCGACTGCGTTTGTGAGCTTAATATATTCCTCCTCTTATGATTTTAGCAATCAAATCAATGAAGAATTCAATAAAGAGAGACACAAAAGGTATATAAGATTATATTACATTATTTTCTAAGATCTAAAATTGAACATGTAGTTAGTTGAATTAATATAGCTTTGTAAATTTTAAAAAATTTAATGATAGTACGAAATTGGAAATCGAATGAATCTGAACTGAACCAAGCCAAATGAAACCAAACCCAAATGTTTCCATAATTAAATTTGAATCTGACGGTTTCACTTACTAAATACTCGAAATTTTCGCGTCGGGTCGGGTTTGGTTCGGTTCTCTTTCCAACCCTAAGTATTCCAAAGGTCCATCTAAGATCAAGGCTTAGGAAAAAAGTCCCATCTCGTGTCTAGGCGAGAAAATAGATAGTTGACTCTATGTTGATCACACAAGATGTGTCTGAACAGAAAAGGTGTGTGATTTCTTTTTGACTAGTGGCATTTTCTTGTTTTGAAGTCGAATTCAGCAAAATGCTCAGCCACTGCTAAACTTAATAAGAAAATAAGTTCAACAAGAAACTCAAACCTACAATCATAGCATTTCTGCACAAACAAAGCATTATTAATTTGGACTACTTGTGATTTTGAGAATTATGTTTTTGTTGAAAATTTGAAAAATATGCACGACGTTTCTATAAATTTTTAGGATAAAAAAATATCTTATTACGAATAAGTTTTGCCTAGACACGCCTAACCTTGGAAGGTTTGAAACTTAATATTTGGCGCCTTTTTAGAATCTCCAACATATGACTTTGGGTGCCAATATTCATTCTATGCCCCTAACGTTAGATCCTTGACCGGATAGACTCCTTTTGTAGTGCCTTTAACATGTATCCAAGCAACATCCATCGTTCAAACTTAGAAATGTAGTCTTCCATTCAAACTTGGCCTCAAACAAATTGGGTTTGATATTGCTTGTTGAAAAACAAAATTAAAATATTTTTCCTTGTAAGTTAGTAATAAGAAAATAAACAAATAATGAAAGAATGGGAAGCTGCTCCTGGCCATCATTTTTACGAGCCTACAAGTTTTGGAATGTTCCTATAATGAAGCACCTTGCATAGTTTTCCCTTTTGGTTTCTTTTTCCTTTTTTCTTTTCCAAAGTCACAAGAGTGTGGAATATTCATACTATAAATAAAATGAGATACAAGCTTAGGCGAGAGACATTTTACCTAACTTTCCATCAATGCGAATACACTCTAGGAAATTTAATCAATCTACAAGACTAGGAGTTAAAGAGCATCTTACCATTTGTAATATTTTATTGTCTTCGTTAAAAAGTTCTCAAAAAATTCATTTTGCTGTTCGGTTAAAGTTAAACATTATTTTCAATCATATATTCATAATTATTACTTGTCGTACATTATTTTATTAAGTTTTTTTCTAAAGTGAATTAGGTTGGATGAAGACTGAAGATGAAAGTTGTTCACCAATTTGGATACGTACGTAGAATTGACTTGGTCAATGTAGATGGCCACTTCTAAGCTTGACTTTTGAGTGGAAGGATCAATTGGTCATAGATTTTGCAGACGAATTTGTAAAAGAAAGGGAAATAAGTGACGATTTATTTCCTTATTTTTCTCTTCATATCAAAATAAAACATAAAATATCTTTACTTGTTATACTAATACCTTCATTTGTTCAATATTTTTCTCATTCTAAAATTAAAAATGCAGACTCAATTGAAAGATTCAGGTGGAAGGTTAGAAAGGACGTATAGAAATGTCTATATACAACTCCGTGTGTTGAAGACACGTTTCTCTTAGCTCAAAAATGAAAATTTGATAGATTTTGACAGTATCAAGAGTGATAGAGTCGAAATATGTCAATATCTACAAAACAATCATTATCAAACATTTTTTTCCTTCTTGGTATAATTTAATAGTGTAGTCTTAATAATGACTTTTTTTTTCTTGGCAACTTATCATGAATTTATTATGAATTTAAGTTACATTCCCTAATTCACTATAATCGATAGGGACATTTCTAAATAATAATCAAAATTCAATTTTGCTTTCTCCTTGTAATAATTTTCTTAAAATTTACAGTATATGTCGATGTCAATTAATCAATTGCTTCCACGATCCTTCTTTGTTCAACATACTTACGGATAGAATTCTCTCCTCTTGTCGGTATGTCTCTATTGTTTTTATATTGTGTCAAGATGTTTTTTATTGTTTGTCATTATTTCTTTAGTAGTTTGATTGCATCACATGTTCTCTCTTTTTATAAACTTATCTACAAGTCTATAAATATAGTAAATTACTTAAAATTGATAAGTTCTTCCTAACTTATCTATAAATACAAATCTGACGAATATTTTAATACAAAATTCAACACAAGGGTGAAATAATAATCGAACCCGAAATGTTGAGAAAACACACGAAATTTCGAGCAAAAGTAACTCATCATGGAAAACAAATAGAATAATGATATTTTGCCATAAAGATGTTGATAGATGCCTTGACATCATAGGCGTTGACAATATACGATTGGATGAAAAAATTGTCTATATTTTAAACAGTCTAATGATGAATGTCATGAGGCACGATATCAAGGATTATGTCAACCTCACTAGCACAGTAACTCAATGCAAACAAATATAATTTTCATTTTAGTAATATTTGATAGATCAACAATAAAAAATTTCATACCAAATGTCCAATTATTTCTTTCAAAGATGTGTATGTACCAACAATCATTATAGCAACACCTATTACTACAATACCTATAATGAACATCATTTCAAATCCAAATCTCTGATGAATGCCAGAAATCTTCAAATAGCACAAGCATGGAAGTATAACTGAGGCTGTTATGCTTAAAAATGCTCCAACAAGTGACATTAGATAACCAAAAAAGGGGATTGCAATGGCTACAATGATACTGCTAATCACCAAGGTGGATCTCCACAGTATACTGACAAGTCTTGTGTTGTGGAAAGATCGAAAATGATTTTCCACGGCTCGCACAATTGGTGTCACCATCAAAGCATATTTTGCTATTGGGTTCACGAGTGTGGTGTAAATTGCCACTTTCGAGCTGATTTTGTTCGTTGGAAGGTTCAAGGTCACTTGAGATTGTACCTGTTGAGAAAGTAACCATTACAAGACACACAACAAATACAAGAGTATTGCTATTTAGCACCATTTGTGTTTAACACCAGTCTAGATGGTTTCACTAGTGGCATTAAATTACAAGTTCAATTAAATACAATGAATTATGGCCCATTTAATGGGATATGTGATATGCTCGCACTTTCAACACCATTGATGCTAGATAACATTATTCTAAAAATAATGCAATAGAATATTCTAATTTTATACCGCAACTCTATTGTCAAAGATAACTTTCCCTGTTTCTTTGATTCTCCTGCCAATTATGTAGTTTCTTTGTTATTTATTCTTCCTTTTTATTTATATAAAAGCAATCTTTAAAGAAAAAACAATTTGAAACTAGCCATATCCAACACTACCTTAGAGCCAAACATCAGATATGCTAAAACTGCCATTGACGCGTAGCTGATGGTACAAACGAGAAAGCAAATGAGCAAGACCTGCAATGGTAAATCCAATTCACCAAAATCAAAATCAACCTTCAAACAGACAATCCATTGGTGTTCAAATACAAATCTTACATTACCTTTGAAAATTTCTTCTGGTTTCTCATGGAAGTATATAGAGTGGGGAAAACTGGATGAGCACAATAACAGAACGCGTACAGGCTAACAGCAGTTGGGATCCCCTTCAAATTCAAAAGCGTTCCCTTTTCATGAAATCCAATGCCATCAAATACACCAGCACATAGCATTGAAGCCAATAATATAAAAGAAGCTAAAACTCCACTAGCAGATATATATGAAAGAATACTCATATTGTTCAACCAAACAGTAGGCAATATAATAAGGCCAACAATGATTACGAAGCTCTGTCTTCCACCAATAAAAAGACCAGCAATTTCGAAATCCATGTTTGGAAATATGTTATCTAAATTGTCCCCTTCTAGGATCAAGAAACCTATTGCCACCAAGTAGAGTTCCATATTCATCGCAATGGAAACGAAAGCTCTTCCTTTGAATCCAAATGCACGATAGCCAATGTCGGGATAGCTTCTTATATTTGGATCCATATCCATGCATCTTTGAATTAACAAGCCTGTATAGAAGGTTAAGCTCGCAATAACAAAGAGAAGTATCAAGCTCAACCATCCCCCTGAAGACAGTGCATATGGTACTGACAATATTCCTACACCTGAGACCAAAGAACATACGATTCACTTGGCCAATAGTATGTAATGGCGTTTATCACATGTTTGGAATTCAAATGCCTAAATTTTTAAAGCACGAGGAAATAATTAGCTTATTGAAGAAAGTCTTCCTACATTCCTTTTCAATAGTTTTTCTGGGTTATCAACATAGATTTCCTAATTCGAATGCATTTTCCACAGAGTAACATTCACTGAACGAAAAACTTAAAACAAAATAGATCAGATTAAAGTCGCAGAAGAAACCCAGATAAATTTCTTAAAAAATAAGCGAACCTGACAAAGCATTGAGTCCATTAAAGCAGGTTTTGAAGAAAGAGGTAGAGCCTGAAATGGCGTGTGAGGGATGAGTAGTGTCGTGTCCCTTCTCACAATCACCAGCCAAGAGCGGTAGGGTAACTGGGTAGCCATTATCTGGTTCCGGATTCATGGATTCAAACTGTCGAGAAAAAATCCGATTAATTTGTTCAACTGTGTGCGTGAGAGAAGATGAAAAAAAAGGGGTTTATCCCAGATTTGTTTCTCGTGTTACGTGCCAATTGCTTATAGCTTTGCAATTTGCATGGTTTGATCTTAGATTTATACTGTATATATTTGGATCAATTTTGATGCGAAAGCACAATTGAATTTTCAAAATAAGAATAAAATTGAAATTTTCAAAATAGAGTAATATAATTATAACGAATATATTATTTAAGAAGTGTACAAAGAAAATTGATTCCCTAATTTTATTAATATAAGTAAAGAAAATTAAAATTTTGTTTTTGTTTGATAGGAATTTTATTAATTGATTTTTTGACCGTTAGAAATAAAATGAGTTCTACCCGTGAGAGAAGAATTCAAAAATTACGACTGCAATAATGAAATAACAGTCAAAAAATTGATTTTAATTGGATTTTAAGTTGTACCAAACATGTTCTTTATAAGGAAAGAAAATTGAAATTCTAAAAGAAAGAAAACTAAAATGTAAAATCATAAAAGAATCGAACTCCTAATCCAAATAAAGGAGAGATTATATTCTATTTAAGAAAAAAAAGAAAAAAAAAAATTCCTATTTAGAATGGACTGTCTTATATATGTGTATATTTTGGGGGGGGGGGGGGGGGGGAACAAAAAAAATTACAAATATATCATTATAAATAACCAAACGTTGTAGAAATGTATATGAAATTTACTAATATATTTTTAAATCAATTTTTAATTTCAGAAAAAAATTAATATAATATTTGATAACAAATATACTACAATCATTAATGTAACCAAAATTTTACTATACACTGCCATTGTAAAATAATTATTCAAAATGAATTAATACTTTAATAATATTTGTTCCATTAATATGTAATTCTTCCATATACTAATTTTGACATATGGATTAGTCTTACAAAAAAATAAAATTGGAAGTATCACAACTTTTTCAAGGAATTGATAAATCTACCCAAATGGCCTATACAAGAAGGTTTATATATCGTTCTTTTAATATAATAAATAATTGTAGGCCATAATTTAACATAATTTCAGGGAAAAAAAATTATTACATAACTACAAAGATTTAAAGACACAATTTACATCCATGCATGAATTAATATGACATGTGATTTGTATCGATGCTCGTTACATCACATACACACATGTAAAAAGATTCTCCCTTAAATCAAGAAATATGTTTCACATTCCTACCAAAGTTAATGTAGTATTAATTGAATAGATAATTAAATATGTTTAAATTAAATAGGTAATTAGATAAATATTATGATCACAGTTACATACTAGTCACAATAATTGAACATTTCAGTCATAAATCACAAATTTCATAGATCACAACTTATTTATCGATAATAAATTATCAAATTAAATGAACATGTATTGTTTTTTGATCATTAATTATCAAATTACTTGTTGCAACTTATTTCACGATCATTATTAAATTAACTTGTCATAACTTATTTATCGATCACAAATCCATAAATTATAGATTACAACTACAAATTTACTAACAAATCATACATTTTTTTAAAATCACATATTATTTATTTGTCACAATTTATTCATATTTTATTTATCATAATTACCCAAATTTCTCAGTACTAGTCTTCATCTCACCCATTGCGCCTGACTATCAACCCTACCACTACCAAGACCACCAAATAACATCGACGTCACTTTACCACCACCACCACAAGACCATCACCTGCATCACCACCACATCATCGCCGTCGCTTCAACCCATCACCATCACCTCCACACACCTCACACATAGCATACATGGAGACTAACCAGTATGCATACACATAGATCGCTCATTGCCACTATACATCTATACACAAGAAGCAACAACCAACTCAAATCCACCATCTCTTCCACCTCCACCACACCACAACCACGAAAGCTATCTGCACTTTCAATGCACCACAAATCAACCTCCAACTCCAGCCGTCGCAAAATCATAAAAAGAGAAAAACGAGAAAATCTAAAAGCAGTAGTCGATTGTCATCTACAACGTCGGACCACTAATAGTACACCACCATCGTCACCTATTATTCTTATTATTTCAATTGACAGCTAGCACAAACTAGATAACAAAAATAGGAATTGACTCGAGTTGACCACGTGTATAGATGTTACTTTTTGTGTGGTTGAAGTTGAAGTGGGTGGAGTTGGCATTAGTCTGACTGGGAGGGTACGGAGAGAGACATATAGAGATAGCAACGGGGCGGGTATGGGACAGGTCGACCATTCCCACCCCGTCTTGTTGGGTATTTTTGTTATTTTACCTCATACCCATACCCGATTAAAGCGAGACGGGGAGAGTTCGAAGCTGGATCGGGTCGGGACGGGGCAAGTCTCTAGCCCCATTTAATTTTTCTTTTTGTTTTTTTAATTTTGTGCTTTTATTTTTTATGTCCTTAATTAGTAAATAATATTATTTTTTTTACCAATTTGTTAAAAACAACTTATGTTATCTCAGCATAACCCAGTGGTGCAAAGAATAAGAGTGAGGTAGTCTCAGCCTTACCGGCAGTCGTAGTGTAAGAGTTCGATTCCTGAAATATGGAATTGGACTCTTTGTAGGCATTAATGTACGGGCAAGCTTTTGTTCCCTATCCTGTTGAGGCACATCTCACGATTTATTTCCCTCACAATGCTTCAAGAACGGGGCGGTAGAATCTCTCGAAATTGGGGTTCAACCTTATATCATAAATGTATATATTTGTGTTTGTATATTGGAGAGATAGAGAGAGATATTTTTAGAGAGAGAGAGAGTCTTGTTTGTAAATGTAGAGAGAGCGTAGAAGATATTTTGAATGACTTGGGATGTGATGGGTGTTTGCATCGGATATGTAGAGTGCAGTGTAGTGGAGAATCGAGTAATAATCATGTGGTGCATATTAATGAGAGAGAGGGACGCGCGGGGTGCATATGAATTATAACGGGGGTATATATATTTTTATATCTAAAAAAAATTTAGAAGTGCTTGTTTATTACAAATTAAAAATCAATTAAAATTAATTTTTTGATTGTTATTTCATTATTTTATTTTTGAATTTTTCTCTCACAAGTAAGACCCACTTTACTATAATGATAAAAAAATCAATTATTAAAATCCATACCAACACAAACTCTAAATATAACATGATTATATTGAAATTAAAAAAATAAAAATAAAAATTCATCCTACATGAATATCAAAGGTTGACATGAAGCTCGACATAATGCTACTGTCAAATCCTTCAAACAAAGTAGCTTTATCCATAAAAACTAATCATATTACATGAGTATCAAGGTTGACATGAAGTTCGACATAATGCTACTGTCAAATCCTTCAAACAAAGTAGCTTTATCCATAAAAACTAATCATATTACATGAGTATCAAGGTTGACATGAAGTTCGACATAATGCTACTGTCAAATCCTTCAAACAAAGTAGCTTTATCCATAAAAACTAATCATATTACATGAGTATCAAGGTTGACATGAAGTTCGACATAATGCGACGTGACATTATATCATTAGATAGTTTAAAATGCAATTAACTTTTTCATTGAATCATCTACAACCACACATAGTTATGCCAAGCTTTCTTTCAAATCCTTCAAAGTAGCTTTATCCACAAAAAAACTAGTGCGTAATTTTTGAAAGTGAAATTTAAAAAATAGAGTTTAAGGGCATGAAATTTATGCCTAAAGAAATTGCCTAGAAATTTTTTCATAAAAATTGTAAATTAAGCATTTTTGATTGATTTTATTTTCAACCTAGATAATGTTATACTTGTCCAATTTATTATTGGCTTTGGAAATGAAATGTTCCAAATGTGTTGAGTAGAGCAACTTAGTAGCTCATAAGGCGAATAACCTTGAGGTCACGGATCCAAATCCTGTTTTTGCAATGACTATTTTTTTTTTTTAATTATCAAAAGGGGGTTTGGCTTTGTTAACTATTAATTAAGTACTCTTCAAGATCTTATTGTTTTTTCAAAAATTTCTAATCTCTAGTGGTCCTTTCAGCAGGATTTGAACTCAAATGATGTTTTGACCATCTATCAGAGAAAAAGAACGAACAAATCTTGTGAATCCATTGAGATCTTGATATTATATAATCATAATGGAAACAACAACCCTAGCCACCATCTTTATATCTAGTTTACTTGGCAACCTTCTTAACAACTAAATTATCCATTCGAGGAACATGGGGACTAGTTTTTAAAAATTAATAAAATATAAGTAATATAGTTAAAATAATATACTTTACTTAAAATTACAGTCCACATATTGAACTCGCTCTATTTAAATAAAAATAAAAAATAAATATTTAAAAAGAGAACCACGAACTCATGATAACAAAAAGGTACAATACAGCGCGAGCAATGAATATATCAAATTCAATTGTCATGCATTGTGAAAAAATTTAAAAAAATCACTTAAGTTTATTAATAATACAAGAAAGTAAAAAATTTGAATTACAAAAGAATGAACACTTTGATTCATTAACTTATATTACAATCTATTTAAAAAAATTTATTTATAAAAAACTCAAATTGTAAACATTAACATATAATAATCTTTGAGATGAAACAATATGATGTAAGGTGAGATGTAAAAAAAGTAGGAAACGGATGAAACAATATGATGTAAGGTGAGATGTAAAAAAAGTAGGAAACAATCTTACTTTTTTTATTGTTAGAGTTTACAATTTTAGACTAATTACTACCAAAATCAGGATTTTTAGGTTTTATATGTTTTTTCTAGCCAATAAATTATAAATAATAATAATAAATTTTTTTATTTATAAAAACCGGTTCCATTCGAGTACCCACGATTCTGTTCAGGAAACAAGAACCGACCCAGTCGGTTCTCGGTTCTTAGTTCCGGTTCCTAATTTATTTTTTCGGGAACTGGATCGAAACTTTCGATTTCGGTTCGGTTTCGATTTGGGAGATTCGATTTCGGTTAAATTGTCGAAGCCTAGATGTAAGTAATTAATATTCATGATGTGAGGCAACTGCCGATTCATCATGAAGATGATTATGCATGTGCAATCGAAATTAATATTTAATATTTTAATTGAATTTATAAATTGTATTGAAATGGAGGC